CTGGGCTGGCTGTAGGTGGGACGCTTCTGCGGTGGCAACGCTGAGTCATCCCCATCCTTCCAATTGAGATATTTCATGTTAGAATACAATAATTATATAATAAGGGATGTTTGGCCTTTGTTGTCAGTGAATATCAACTTGATAACAAAGAGAAGTTTAATTATAAGCGATATTAGATCTATTCAGCAATGATGGAAATACTGAATATTAGTCTAAAATGTAAGTGGATTTTCAGAGTAACTGTGATGTCATTCTGCATTAGTGTCGGTGTCACCTGATATGAAGACACGCCAAAGCTGTCGCTGACTCCAACTTCCTGTTCTGACACTGAGCTTATTTTCTTCCTCCTCCCGCTGCCTCCTCCTCGTCCTCTCTTCCTCTGGTGGTACATCACCTCCTCCTCTTCCTCCTCCACTTCCTCCTCCTCTTCCTCTATAAGGAAGGCTTCCTCTCCCCCCGATGGGGTGCAGTAGCTGGGGGTGTTGCTGGCCCCGCCTCCGTCCACTGAAGCTCCCACTGCGGCTGCACCGCTTCCTCCAAAACTGCTCCCGTCCCTGGGGCTGAAGTAGTTGGTGCTGCTGGGAGACTGGCTCTCGCTCACTGACGGGCGGCTGGGAGGTTGCGAGGCTCGTTGGGGCTCGTTGGACCCTGCAACCTGGGCTTGACCACCAACACCACCATCACTACCAGCTCCATTACCTCCACCTGCACCACCATCTCCATTGCTACTGCTACACCCGAGGTTAGCTGACCCTCCTCTTCCTCCCACACTGGCCTCGTCCTGCACGCCGCCTCCTCCTCCGCTGCTCCCTCCTCCCGCCCGGCCCTCCTTCAGCAGCTCAGTGCATTTGTCCACGATGTGCCACATCTGCAGAACGCTGCCGACTGTGAGGTAGTTAACGATGTCCTCGCGCAGCATCCGCAGCTGACCGGTGTATGCGCAGCTCAGCACGCTCTCAAACGCCAGCGGGTCCATTACTGCCGGGATGGAGACTGTAGACATGTTCTTCAGTAGTACCTGGGGATGAGTGGAGAATGGTGAGCTATCAAAGCATTGTCCTCCCTCTCTCCACCAGCTCTCATTTCTTATGCACACTTATCAAGGTGGAAAATCCTTTAACCCTACAGGTTAAAATCCAAACCCTAATTCATGTATGCCATTATGGACACTTAATGTGTTTGCCAGCCCCTCAGACAGGTAACACGACTCTGATACAACCCCAACCAAGTGTCAGTAAAACTGATCTTTGGCGTATGAGCTGTCTCGTGTAAAGTGTGAACTTGACGCAACACTGGTTTGAACTGTGAACGTGATTTCCCACCCTACACAGGGTCCCGGGCTACAACTCACTCAACTCATGATTGCTGTTTGACAGAATAAGAATAAATAAATCCATCCTTAAAATTAAGAATTTGGATACAGACAACTCTTTGGTAGGTCAAAACTGAACTCAGGAACAGGCTGCAAGGAGATTTCAATAAATAGGCCTCCTGTTGCACAATATCCATATCACAATACCAATGAGATATTTTTCTCCAAGCCAAGAAGATGAAGTGCAGCAATGTTTTGCAAAAATCATAGTTTACACATCTTATTTCTATGTAACCATCTTCCTGTGATAACTTTAAGTCTTGAAAATATAAAGCGGATGCAAATATAAATTGCAGACCGCCTGCTGCGCCATCTGACCAAAGGCTGTCTCTACCATAAGTCCTTGAAACTGAGACAGCTGCTTAAAAATTCAACAGAGTCTCTCAAACACTGCACGCCTCTGAATCTTAATCTCTTCAAGGTCCAGATCAGAAATGGATCAATACGACCTCGTGTAGCTTTTCTGTGTGTTTGGCCGGTTCCTTTTCCCCACCTGGTCATGGAAGTAAGGTGAGGAGGCGGCCAGAACGCAGCGGTGGGCTTTGAACACATTTCCCTGGACGTGGATGGAGAGGTCACAGAGCCGGCCGTCCTCTCTCTGCCGGTTCAGGCTGTCCAGCACCGACGCCTGAGCGCTGGGGAAGCACACCTGCACCACCGAGCCAGATGTGTTGCTGGGGGCTGAGCTGCTGCTGCTGCTGCTGCTTCCCACTTCCACAGGCTGCAGGGACTGCATCTGGGTGGTGGAAAAACCTTCATGACTCAACGGTTACATTATGTTTTTAGATTAGTAAGTTGCTTTATGTTTTTCCTCCCTGGTTTGTTACTTCTGAACATCTGCAGGAAATTAAAAAATGTATTACAGTAACCAGCGGACATTGTTTGATATCCAAATATTGTACAACATTTTTTTATTGGATTTTAATGTCCTTTTTATATTGCCTTATGTTGGTTTTATATTATGTCTTAGTGCCTTTTATGTTCTATGTAAAGCACTTTGAATTGCCTTATTTAAATGACAAGAAATTGACTT